TCATTTTCTTTCACTCCCAGCAGCTCATTCCTTGGAGTGAATTAATAGAAAAATATGAATGACTCCGATAAAAGAAATTATGGCCTATCCCAAAGTTTTTGCGTCCTGGGTATGGCGATAAACTACATATGGCAGCAAGGACTCCAATCGGGAGATTTTCAAGAGCGTGGAGCCATCTCTTCATTACTGTTGTTCTAAGGTCCACCCAAACTCTGGGTGGTAGCACATGTTAGTTTTCCAGTTTTTAGCAAATAGTTAACCCTCACCACCAATCTGGGATCAAAATACTATGAAACTATAAAAAATAGATTTTTATAGTAAAAATTCAAGTGATACATTTTTGGAAAAAAATTATCAACAATATATTTTCGAAAAAATATTGCCAGCAATACATTTTTGAAGAAAAAAAAATACCAGCAATATATTTTTGAAAAAGAAATATATTACCAGCAATACATTTTCTATTCATAAGAATGTATCCTAAAACTTTTGTCGGCAATAAATAACCCATTGAAGTGTTGATATACCACAGAACAAAATAAAACAAACCAAATTAAATGTTCTGTTAACGACGATTTTTTCAATAATAAGTTATTGAAAACAAAGCAAATACAGATTGCATCATTGTTACAGCTACTTGAAATAGGCTTGACGAATATGGCTTACGTTCATTGATTTGCTTTTCTACTGTTTGGTGTAGCTCTTCAAGACTTTGTAAGAGCTACAAAGGATAGAAAGATCTCTGATCACGCACGATCAGAGAAATTTTTATCCTTTGTAGCTCTTACTAAGATCTTTTCCCCACCTCTCCCCGTTCTTGTCGTCATCCATTTTCAAACGCCGTCCTGGGTATGACGATAAACTACATCCGCGTCCTGGGTAAGACGATAAACTACGTCCATCAACAAGGCCTCTGATCAGGAGATTTTGAGGAGCGTTGAACCACCTCTTAATTGCTGGTGTTCCCAGATTCATCCTGAACCGGGTGGTAAAAAGGATTATAAAAGTGTAAAAATAGGTTTTGACACAGAAATACTTTGTAAAAAATTATTACCAGAAATAAATTTGAAAAAAAAAAAAAACCAAATTACCAGCAATACATTTTTGAAAAAAAATAAACTATTACCAGCAATAGGTTTTTGAAAAAAAAAAAAAAACTATTACCAACAATACGTTTTTGAAAATAATATTACCAGCTATACAATTTTGAGGAAAAATATAACCAGAAAGAGATTTTTGATAAAACAAGAATATTACCAGGAAAAATAAAAGTTGTCGGCATTAAATGACCCATTGAGGTTGATATGCCGTAAAACAAACCAAATCAAACCAAACGAAACCATTTACAAACGCTTGTAAGGTAGGTTACTCGCTGGTTTCCCTAGTCTTTCCTGCCTTTCCTGTCCTGTGAGTGTCTAATTTTACAAGCCCTCTCTCCTTATAATCTGTCTTAGAAATTCCAGATGATTCTAAGTATAAATGTCCTTTTTGTTTCCATTTTCTTTAAAATTTCTTGGTTACTCACCTGTTCTCTATATGATATTCTCAGTATCCTTCTGTAGAACCACATTTCTGTTGCCTCAAGTTTCTTCTTCATCTATTAGGATATTATTCAACATTCACTGATATATTTGAGATCTTATATTGAGGCCATAACTGTTTAAAACCATTTTCTTTGTTTGTAACGAAATATTCCTGTTTCTTAATAATTTTCTTAGCTTTTGGATGGCATCTTTCTCTATTCCAATGCACCTTTGGATTTCGGTGTCATATATTCCGTCCTCTCTTAAGAACACATATTGAAATTTTCTTGCTTGCCTGATTTTTGCACCTCCAGTTCATAGTTTGTATCTTTCTGGCAACCATACTGTTGTGGAGTCTACCCTCTAATGAGGCTATTGTAGACTCTTCCACTTACTATATATTAGTAGGAAAGTAAGCATCCGGGGAACGGTGATATAGATTGTAACCGAGGCTGTGACTGTTCGCAGCTCCTGTCGAACTCTCTGCCTTGGCCGGAGAGGAACCCGGACGACGCTGTGTCGAAGGGCAGAGTTTCGTCCGGGGAGGTAGACAGACCCGAATCCCCTTATGCAGGTTTTACGGAATTTCTTTTTCCATGTCTACGGGCTCGTTTGACCCACCTTAAACTCGGCCTTGTGCCATATGTGCACTCGTGCGGTGGGGGTCATTAAATATAACGGTGACATAGATTGTTCTACCGAGGCTGTGTTCGCAGCTTCTGTGGAACGCTCTGATTTGTGCGGAGAGGAACCCGGACGAGACTCTGTCCTTCGGCAAAACCTTGTCCGGGGAGGTAGACAGCCGTTTATGCGGGCTCTACAGGGATTTTTTAGCCGAGACTACGGGCTCGGATGACTCACGTTAAACTCGATATTGTGCCACATGTACCCTCGTGGGGGGCGGACACTAAATAAAAATAGTCAACCAACACACACTCCCAAGTCATGTAACACACTTCTGTTGTATTTACTGTCCAATACACTATTTATCTAGAACCTCTTGTTTTGTTATTCCTTAACCAATTACTTGGTTACAACGCATACATTATTTTTTACAATAAATAATGTCTAGATTTCGTGCTTCTCAGCCACCTTAAAAAGATTATGCAGCGTCATAGTTTTCCTGAAGTCGGTTTCTTTATTTTATTCACCTCCCTCCACTAAAATCTTCTTATTTTATTTCACACTCTGCAGCCCTTTGCGTCCTAGGCTGAAATGATTTTATATATATATATATATATATATATATATATATATATATATATATATATATATATATATATATATATATATATATATATATATATATATATATATATATATATATATATATATATATATATATAAATACAATATATATATATATATATATATATATATATATATATATATATATATATATATATATATATATATAATATATATATATATATATATATATATATATATATATATATATATATATATATATATATATAATATATATATATATATATATATATATATATATATATATATATATATATATATATATATAATGAATATATATATATATATATATAAGGAAGTATATATAATATATATATATATATATATATATATATATATATATATATAATGAATATATATATATATATGTGAAAAGTGTATATAAATATAAATAAATATATATATGTATAATTATTTATATATTATATGCGCGGTACTTATTAGAAAGCGCTTAATATCAGAGATAGAGCTAACATATTTGGTTGGATAGATGTGAGTTTGTGACCCTGGGTTTCACGCTTTAGCGATCGTCAGACAAACCCAAACAGCGAATATCATGTGCGAGCACAAAATAATTTTATTATTATTTATTATATAATAAATAATTATTATAGATTTGAATAATGACTTGGAACTACAAGATTTAATTAAAGACTTAAATTGCAATTGCACCGATGGAAGTGTATTAAAAAATAGTAAATATCTAAGGAAAATTTCGGTCAATCAGATATCAATCGTTAGCGTAATTTTTTTTTTTTATTAATCCTAAAAAGAACATCGAGAACATTTCAGGGTTTATTAGGGAATGAAAAGAAAATGGCGAACGATAATGACAAAAATCGTCTTCTAACGAATTTAGAAACCAATTTAATCTGCATAAATAAAACGGATAACATTGATTACAAACGTGTAGAAGCACCAGAAATTGACGGAATAAAATTATATACTATAGTATTATATACATTATATAATTAAATAAATATTATAAATTGTATTATATAGTCAATACATGAATAAAAGTTAAACATCCCTAAAATATATTTAATACATGTGATATCTTTTTTTGAATTCAATAGATTTATCTTATCCTAACAATTCGGAAAGTGTTTGTGTGACTTATATAAAGATAAATAATTTAATTTTTATTTATCTATGACTTATTGTTGCTATATTCTGTTAATAGCGAGCTTTTTATTTGCAATAACGTCCTTGATTTGAACACTAATTATATATATATATATATATATATATATATATATATATATATATATATATATATGTAAAGGAATCAGAGAGAGATCGTTTTTTTTTTGCTAACAATATGATTTCCAACAAATAATACACCGTCAACTAAAACATCTGTTGGTTAGTAATTTCCATTTCTTTGTTTATTTCTCGGTTCGTTGATGAAGGACACAGGCGTGTCCAAAAATTCCGAACATAAAATTTTTCTTTCGGTACTTTGTTTCTGTCATATGGATAATAATTAATATTTAGTAAATGTTTATCGTACTGATTATATTGGTACCCTTTCGTTTGTCCTAGTTTTATTAACTGTTCTCTCTCTCTCTCTCTCTCTCTCTCTCTGTATATATATATATATATATATATATATATATATATATATATATATATGGTGTTTCAAAAATACTTTTACAAACTTTAGGGGCGGTTTCTTCACAACAAATGCAAGAACAAAAGTCCATATAAACATACGTCTGCAAATCCTTCTTTTTTGAATTATTAAGTTTAAAGAAAGTTTATGGCAATGATTATTATAATATACCTTTTCAAGACACTTGATGAAGAACTCTGTTGAATCGGAGCCCCTCACTAACAAATTAGGGAGTCCTTTTCTTATCAGAACGATCAGAGGATTTACCCAGCTTTCGTACGTTCGTAATCACCATTAGACTCATCCAACTCTTTCTGAATTCTCTGAACTCTTTTCAGATTGACAGGTAAACAGTCTTAAATGATCGTATTGGAACGAATGCCAATTAGTAGAGAATGTCGTTTCAAAATTTCTGGCGAAGTGAATTGCGTCATGTCGCTCTTTTTATCGCTGATGATGTCATACTGATCCTATTACACTGTGCAGTTGAGAAAATAAAAACAAACAACGCGCATGCACCAAATTAAACAATTAAATTGGCGACAACCTACCCATCATACACAGTACATAGAAATCTGACATGGATATGAAACTACGATAGATAGATAGATAGATAGATAGATAGATAGATAGATAAAGGTTTTATTCTCCTAATGTCATTCAATTTTTATTGAATGTCATTGTCTCTAATCATTTATTATGTTCCTAAGTTTCTATTTTATAAACAGCTTATTTTTCTGTAGATATAAACTTATTAACGTGGATTTTTTTTGCCGAGGGAGCGGAAAGCAATATGCTTTTTTAGTAAATTAAGCAGGCCAAGAAATCCTTTTTTTTCCTACAGGCGCTGCAGCCATGCAATTCTATCGTGACTCGAGTCAGACTGTCATGATCCCCCTGACCCTGGGCAAGACACACACAGCAGAGTTGCATAACATGTGGAAAACTCGAGAACCTTACAAATCCGGATCTTGTGTAAGAATTTCCGGTCCACTTCAACGATTCTCTCTCTGCGTTGAGAATAGTCGATTTCGAATCAAATAAAATCGTTGCAATAATAAAAATGCAACAACAATAATAATATCAGTAAGAATAGCAAATATTATTTGAATGAAGGACAAAAAAAAAAAAACGATATCTAACAGTCCAACAGCTGAAGATATCGAAATATTTCAATATAAGAATAAATAAATGAGCAGCCTAGTAAAATAAAGAAAAAAATATGAAATTAAAATTTAAAAAAAAAAATCGAAAATACATTAATTTTACGTTCGAGATACTTGAGTCCATTGATAATAATCTAGTTGTCCGATAGACCGTTTGTTGGTTTCTCATTCAAAATTTACATCGACGTTTATTATTTTTTTTACACTTATCGCATTTGTTGGCTTTCACCAAGATGTTTGGCGATAGTCGCTAGAAATCGAAAGACGGTAAGTCTCCTTAAGCCGAGGGCTCCCTAATCAGAATCCTTGCAGATACCAGACTGAATCAGAACATACAAAATTTTATTGAAATTAATTATTCATTTGATATCATTTCTAATGTTTTTTTTTTATTTTCGGAATGATTCCTAGTGTGCTAATAAATATGGGCAGGACCGCAAAGTTCATTGTATCTATTTGACTAAGTTCCCTGGCAGGGTACTGGATATTTTTTCGAGAGAGTTCTTGTTTAGATGTGTGTGTTTGTGTACACATAATATAACTGAATTGATACGGAAATGGAATCGGCTAGTCGTGGTTCAAATTCTGGACTGGTTTCTTGGATTCACTTTTGCACAAATACTCTTGAGAAAAGCCAAGTCTATATCGTCCATCTGCACTTGAATCGGTTAAATAGTAAGCAAGACTAAACAACCGAGCCTTGGATGGCAGCTAGTCTAGGAGAAGGAATCTAAATTCTAAACTAACATGAAACCTCTCCACTAACTATCCCATGTTGTTATCACCCAGAGAATAAAAAGAAGGGAAGAAGCAGAGACCTATGATTGCCTATGCCCTGAAGGGATATACAATTAAAAAAAAAAATCTATATATAAGTTTCGTTACTGTTTCTTGAATGAAATGTCTATATTTTTCTTTTAAAAATAATTCATTGTCTTTTTTTTGCATTAATGTATTGTCTTCCTCGTTATTTCTTCTCTGGTCTTTCACGCAATGCATTCTATCGTTTAGTTCTTTTTCAGTCTTCAATATGTATATATATATATGCTTCAGTATATTTAAAGATGAAGTTGGATCAATAATTTCAGCTAAATACACTCTCAATTATTTTCTGAATTTCGTTTTACAAAAACAAATTCCAAGGAAATTTTGATTTGTAATTTTAATAGGCCGACTGTTTATTTGGTGCGAACATTTGAGCCCACGTACATAAGATGTGACTGCTTTCTGTGACTCTGCCAGTCTGTTGGCCTGTCCGTCTATCTATCTATCTACTAAACTTTGTTTTTTCTTATTTCAGCCCAACGTTGTTATTTATAGATACAAGTATTTAAACAAATGCTCTGTTTATGATAAACAGTATTAAATAACATTTACCGGCCTGAATGTCCGAGAAAATTTTCATAGAAAATATTCGTTCTTTTGACAGGATTTACGCTGACGTGCCTTAACTGTCTCGGCCACAAAGAACCTTTCGGTAGACAAGGTCGAATTTACTGCTTATAAACTTCAATCTTCCATGAATCTATCGTACATTCATAACTGCTCTGGCGTATCAAATGTAAACAAATGACGTCATATATTAAGAAATGGACAAGGTCCGACAATTTATTTATTAAAGACATTTTTATGTTTAACGATGTTATTTATAGATACAAGTTTTAAGCAAATGCTCTGTTTATGATATTCAATAACATTTACCGGCCTGAATGTCCGAGAAATTTTATATATATATATAACCTATCCTATATATTTATATAACCGTATAAAGAACCTATCGGTAGACAAGGTCGATATATATAAACTAATAAAATGTAATAAATAAATTGTCGGACCTTGTCCATTTCTTATTATATATATATATACCCTGTGGAAATGAATTCAAACAAAACGAATAATTCTGTTATGATCTCCTTTTTTTCGTACTTTTACAATGAAACATAACCCAGTGTATATGTTATTAGTTCGGATATCAATACCACAAAGTCGCTACTTCACATTGACCACAGATTGGTTGTATTAAAGCCAGGAGAGTTTCCGGGCCAGTCTATAGTAGTATGATTTGTTTACTGGTAAGGCTTGCTTGTGTTTTAATGCAGCGTTACAATTTTTGTACCATTCCTTGGAGTAACGTCCCTTGCAGACAATGGCTGTAGGACAACTAATCAACCGTCAAGACAATAGTGTTTGGTTGTGAACAAAATCTGATGCAATCGCGGATGACGAAATAATTTTTAAGGTCAAACAAATTTCACCATACATCTCAGAAATAGATTTATATTATACATCCCGAAAATAGATTTATATTAATGCACACCATTGCAAATAGCTTAATCTGAGAAAAAGTGGTGTAACACGTACCATATGGTGAAAAGGAGGAAAATAAAGCGGTTGTTTCAATTAATTTGCACAAGGGTATATATATATATATATATATATATATATATATATATATATATATATATATATATATATATATATATATATATATATATATATATATATATATTTATAACTTTGTTTTCATTTATTTCATTCTATTCTGTATGCTTCAATTCTATCTATGTTCGTTACCTATGTGTTCATATCCACCTCTCTGTTTTAAATTACCCCAACATATTCTTATATCTATCTATCTATCTATCTATCTATCTATCTATCTATCTATCTATCTATCTATCTATCTATCTCATATTTTAGTTACTTCAGCCTATTCTTATATCTCTGTGTTAACTTTTCTCTCTTTATCACCACCTATCTATCTATCTATCTATCTATCTATCTATCTATCTATCTATAGATAAGGAAATAACACTATGAATCTCTGATTTTGTCTCCCTATTTCATTTAGTCTGTATTTCTTTCTCTCACTATTAATTTCCAATGTCAGCTTATAAACTACTTATTTTCTATAAACTTCTTAATATGGATTTTTTGGCCGGGCGATAGGAAAACAATGTGGTTCTTCAACAAATCATACAGACTGTCTTTCTACAGGCGTGACAGCCATGCAATTCAATCATCAGAGTGACATGTTCCTCCCGAAGCTGAACAAGACACAGAGTCGAACTGCATATGTGGGAAATTACAAATCTTAGCAGCTATCGATTTGTGCAATTAATAGAGAAGATTTGGGGCTAAGTACATTGACATGTCGAAACATTATTTCTGTATGAATTTCTGGGGTGAGGTGTTATTATTTATATGTGAACGATTATCCTTAACTTAGTTGTTATCATCGCAGCGCTTCGAACGTAGTACCCTACAGGTTTTATGTTGTCGATCCATGCAACCTTCAGGAAAATTCGAACGAAACTCTTTATTAAATCTACGAGGGTAGTTTGCTTTTATTCCGCTATGTTTTGGGTATCTCTAATACTTAGTTTCTAGTTCACCGCTTCTCATACGATCACCGAGGTTAAGCAACATCGAGCCTGTTCAGTACCTAGATGAGTAACCGCCTGGGAATATTAGGTGATGTAAAGTTGGATGTGTGAGTGGTTTAATAGATAACGTCTCGGAATTGGAAACTGGAGGGCGGAGTTTTAATTCCACCCGGGTTCGTTATATTCTCTTACGCAGCGGAATATATTATATATATATTCCCTAGCGGAAGGCATAGATCCACCTATTCTCACCCTTAAATAATCGTTAATTATTAGGGTTTCTATTGGTAAATCATTATTATCTCCAAAAAATGATTACACGCTAAAAATATTTCCTCGCTTTAAATAACCTGCAAAGGGTTGATAAGCCGTAAAAGAAACAAATCAATCAATTGATCCAGCTCATTTATTTCTCGGCCTGTTTCTACTGAATCCAAGTACGCATTTCCCAGCCAAGTGATTGAAACCGCAATTACTATGTCATTCAATTCACGAACCAATGATTTAATCTACTAACCTATTGTCTCGTGAGATATATACCTAGACATTGACGCTGTACTCTATCATTTAACGAAACATAGAACATAATGGACCGCAATTCCATTTACGATACTCTGCTCAAATGCAGCAAAATCGTCGCGTCGGTTGAAAAGGCGATGCAAAATGCCTCGTGGAGCGGAAAGTTTCCTGAGCTAAAAAGAAATGAGCCATCGATAACCATTCCAGAACCTTGTCTGCATCCGAAAAAAGGTGTGTATCTAGTGAGATTGCATTGCAAAGGTATTTTGTATTACGATCTCTTTCCGCAAGATCAGACGTTGAATGCAGACAAGCACTTTTCCTAATTGGATCGATTAACGGCAGTAATCGATGAAAAGCGCTCGGGATTGGCAAATCGGAAGCGTGTCGTTTTCCATCAGGACAACATTGGGCTACATGTCTCTTTGCAAACCAGACAGAGAGTTATACATCTTGATTGGGAAGTCCTACTACATTATATTAGATATAAATTATTACACGATAACGTACCGTATATGAAATGACGGCTAAATGTCTTGAACAATGTTAACTAAAACAGTTTCAATAATATCGTTTATAGCCAACGCAAACCTCTTAAAAATGTCTATAGAGAGCAGTGGTCGCCATTGTCTTTCCAAGCTGATGAGTAGAGGATTCACAGAAGCGGCGGCTCTTAAAAATCCAGATTGTAAGAAAATGTGCAAAATGAACAGGAAATGGTCAAGGATATTCCCAGACGATTACAAATACTTGAGGACAATGCTGGTGACTATTTAGAATTTTAACACTGTTCTCTAGTTCTACTATTAGACTATTCAAAATGAAATGTGCTTAAACAAATCGAAAGATAATTAATAAAGTTATTAACGATTTTTAATAGAGAAATTCTTTCCACCCACTCCACCCCCCTCTGATTCTCTCTATCTTTCTTCGTCTTGGGTAGGTATGACGCTAAACTACACCCAGCAGCAAGGCTCCTGATCTGGAGGTTTTGAGGAGCGTGGAAGCAACTATTAATTGCTGTTGTTCCAAGGTCCATCTTGATAGGGGGTGGTTGCAACTGTTAGGGTCTCATCTATTGGCATATATATATATATATATATATATATATATATATATCCCCACTATATAAGGAATTCGAAACTTGACATTTATTTAATATGGCCATTATTCATGAAAGTAAAATCAAGAATCCTTCAGATATCATAAAAGTTTAATACTTTTCCTCCTTAAATATAATTAGCAACTGTTTTTTTTATGTGTAAATTAACCTCTCGAGTGGTTTGTAACACATTTCTTATCATCTCTCAGTTGCGTCTCTGCCCTTGGGCAGAGTGCACGTAGGGGCAACTCCCTTAAAGGACAGTGTCGCAACTGATGAAAATTATACTGAAGAGGTGCCCAGCCCTGGGGAAAAACTGCCCGAGACCCCGCCCTCTCATTGCACTAGAGAGAGGGATCGGTGCTCGCAACGTGGCGAGCGTAATAGACTGTTGTGGGGGCTCGTGAATTTGTGTTCCTAGCCCGGGTGTATGCGCTCAGGCTCCCCACATTAAACAGCCTCTTTGAAGGTTGAGTAAATAAAAAATTAGGAACTGGTTTCTAGAGCAGCGAGTGCCAGACTAATGGTAATGTTAACTGTTTTCCTTATAAGGAAATATTCGGCATTCATGTAGCAAGCAGCCGTTGCTACGCTCGGTGGAAATTCATAAATTCGGCATCCTGGGGTAACGCAAGCCACCAAGCTCATAGTCTACCGAGCTGTTGTAATCTCGACTCTCCTGTACGCCTGTGAGAACTAGGTATTATACTGAAGAGACATTCGCAAGCTTAAAAGTTTCCATCAAACACATTGCAGGACCGGATCACGTAGAATTAAGTTCTTCTGCGCGGAAAGATGGAGAGCCTAGAAAGCATCATGACTCGCCATCGACTGTGATGTGCAGGACCCCTGAATAGCATACACCGGCCTACCCATCCTTTTCTCGGAGATCGCATTTGGCAAAAGACCATGTGTAGCTCTACGTCGTCGATTCAAAGATCAGCTCAAAAGCCTCTTGCTGAAGAAAGGAATTTGATCCGTTCAGTTGTGAGATGGAAGCTGCAGAAAGAACCAAAAAGAAAAGAGCAGGCCAGGAAAAAAAAATCATTCAAAACAACCCGAAGACAAATAGAAGGGACAGAGAGAGCCCAAAGAAATGCCAAAGTTCTCCATCTCTTGAATCCTTGGCTGCAGACGCCTCTTTAGATCCAATATAGGACTCATTTCACACAGAAGGAAATGTCTATGACCATTCTATGACAATACTCGGCAACGAGTTCCGCCAACAATTGAATGTGTGTGTCTGTGATATTTATTTTCATACAAGGCAAGAAAGTATAAAACACCGAGAGATGATAGAATTAACTTAAATTGTTTACATCTGCATTATTTTGGAACGAATCAAAAACTTATAGATTAGCTTAACTGGGTACCCATAAAGATCAAAGTCACCGTAGGAGTAAAGCTTGACTCCATTAATTTTGTCACCTTCCATCCACGAAGAAGTGACGTTTATGAAATTTAACTTATTCCATCACAAGGCCATAACTGTGGTCGACACTGTGCGGAACTCTCACGCACAATCAGAATGGTTTTGACGACCATGGCTCCATAGAAAAATGAGTATTTTCTTCCGTCACTCTGTCTGCTTGAATCAAAGCCAGCCATCGCGATGGTTATTTGAGTCCTTTTTACGCAAAGTGACAACGATTGTAAGGTCGATTATTGGAAAAAAATATCATTTACACACAATCCAGAGCTAAAACCCAGCATTTGGTGCATAAGACTTAAATCTAACGCACTTGGAGTAGAACTGTCAATTTTCAGAAACGACAGTTGGTCTTTGATTAAAAAAATACGGAGTCATCATGAATGCGAGATATGATTTTATAAGATTATATTTCCTCGTGACTCATGAAAAGTTTTACTTCCGAAACGTTTTATACAAATATTACGGCCATGTTTAAGCCTTGGCAGTCAGTAACAAATAACAAACGTTAAAAAAAACTGATGATTTCTCTAGCTGTCATATTTGGGTCGGGGGACTCAAATTTCCATGAATACTAAATGACACGTTAATGTGTTTTGTGACTAAAATAAAAATGGTGATAGATAATCTAAAAATATGATAAATTATCGAAGAATAATTAAAAATAAGGTAATGGAAGATTATATATTTATTCACTTATTTAGTTATGGCAAATGCGGTTAAAAAGGTTTTTTTTTTTCTAATGATTCTTTCTAAATAATAATTTTTTTCCGATATTTATATATTTTATGATTTTAGTCTCTTATCGTTTTCGTTCGCCATTTTCGTACTTATTACAATGAATGTCGTCATATCCTCTGTGTTGTTATTACTTTTTATTGCTTCCTTTTTTTATAATTTTCTTTATTCTTTTTCCTTTCTTTCTCTTTATTATTTGGTTTCTTTCTTTTTTATTCTTTCTTTCTTTTTATTCATTCTATAATTTTCTTTTCTTTTCTGGCTTTATTTTTTGTCATCACTTTCTTTTTATCACTCTTTCTTTCTCTTTTATTCTTTGTTTATTCCTTTTTTTCCTTCCTTTTTATTCTTTGTTTCTTTCATTTTTTTCTTTCATTGTTTCTTTCTTTGTGTCTTTCTTTTCATTCTCTTTCTGTCTCTTTTATTCATTGTTTATTCCTTTTTTCTTTCCTTTTTATTCTTTGTTTCTTTCTTTGTTTCTTTCATTGTTTCTTTCTTTCTTTGTTTCTTTTCATTCTCTTTCTCTGTCATATTTTCCTCTCCACCTCATTGTCTCTCTCGCTTATTCTGTTGCTATTCTTTTGTACAGCTATCATACTTTCGATTCTTTTCATGAAATTCTCTTTTTATTCAAGAAAGCGTTCTTCCTCTTTTTATTTTCTTTATTAAATAAAAATAGCAGTTTAAATAAGCGGCAATTTTGGTCTTTAATCAAACCGATTTATTTTACGTTATTTTCATTTTTTCCTTCTGAATTCCTATTTAAACACATATCAACCCGTTTTTATTATTTTTTTTTACTACGAAATCAAACTAAGAAATAAAACGTTCATTTACACGAACAAGAAAAGCGTTTTTCATTTTTAATGGCAAACACATGTCATCTGTTTATCTTAGTTGATGACGACTTCACTTTTTGAAGCAAATAATATTCATTAAATCAAATAAAGATTTATCACACACACACACACACACACACACATATATATATATATATATATATATATATATATATATATATATATATGTGTGTGTGTGTGTGTGCGTGTGTTTCTGTATGTGAGCATGTTCACAATATTATTCCCCTATATGAGCATCTGTGGAGATGCGTACACAAAAGAGCATGATCTCTAGCTAAGCAAGGAGTAAACCAAGATAGAAAGAGATATTAGTGTGACTCAGTTGATCCTCACTTGAATAGCATAGAACGTCCACATAGTCAAGTGATTATATTGTTTGCTGAATATTGATTTTATCTGAGCCTGAAGCGACGAGTGTTTTATGACAACAGTAAAATCTAGGTGTGAG